ATCTTAAATTTATCAAAATTTTTCAAGGGAAGTTTTCTGAACATAGCCTATGTTTACAAAATATTTAAAATATCTAAAAATTAAACACTTTAAGGATTACATAAAAGTTTGTGCAATTTGAATTCTCAACGTTTAACCCTTGTAAATGGATGGAGAATTTAAATTAATCTTTTAATTTTGCAATAATATTTAATTTTTTAGTAAATTCAACGACACACATCTCATATTGTTCTCTGGCTTGTTGCATTGTTGCACGTTCCCGAAATTGCTTGTTACTGTAGACGAATGTTAGTTCGATCCAACAGAAATAATTGAGAACAATGGTCAGTAGGTGCGTCACCTTACAACCTGCATTTCGAATAAGCACAGACATGTTTTATTTATGTATTTCGACAAGGCCGTTAATTATGCCATTCCTTTCGGTTGCACGCGCGTCATACCAATGTCTTGAGTTGTAATAATAATGAGTTATTGAATTGGACATCAGTAGTAGAGTACTTATTGTGCTCTCTGTTTCCCAATGATAACGAGCAGTACGATGATCTGGATCAAAGCCAGACTAGGGTAATAATGAATAATTATAGTAATACCAGGCATGTCAATGATGTAACTTACAATAACGTTGACGTAGCCGCTAAAGCCTCGACGAATAGAAAAGCCCCTGGGACCAACAATATTACCAACAAGGTAATTAAAGAAGGTTATGGTGTCTTAAGGTCTCATATGACAAGATTATATCAGACATGTTTGCTGTATGGTGTCTTCCCTAACTGTTGGAAACAGGGGAAGGTGGTAATAAGGATAAGACTAATCTATGGTCGTACAAGCCCATATGTTTAGTACCGTTGCTGAAAAAAATATTTGAGCGTGTAATAAAGAACAGACTAGAGTCTATGATCAATAGGTATAATAATGATTACCAGTGCGGCCAGTACGGTTTTAAGAGAGGATGCTCAACGGTCTCGGTCAGATGGTTGAAAAGTCTTGTAACAAGTACTTTCTTGGTATATTTTTTTAATATTAAAAGTGCTTTTAATCTTCTGTAGTGGCCTTCCATTTTAAAAAGTTGGTGTATATGCATTGTCCCGGTGAATTATATTGGATACTACGGGAAAAGAAAGGTTATGTACGAGGATGTGAGCAGTGTGGAAGGTAAATAGAGGCTGTCCCCAGGGCTCGGTTTTCAAATCTCTCCTCTGTAATTTGGTATTTCGCTGTTGCCTCAGGATTTTGCTTGAAAGTCGTGTAGAGTAAATAGCTTACGCAGACGATTTGGTTTTATTTATATCCGGTAAATCGAGGAGGGAGCTAACGTCCCAAAGTGAAAAGTGTCTATAGTACTGTACTTAATATTAAAGAGTACGGAATTGCATCTGTAGTAATTAAATGCTTGTCATGCAATGGAAAATAAGCCACTGTTGTGTGTGACATGTGGTAACGTTAAGTGCATTGTAGGATGTAAGGTGTTAAATCTATAAGCGGACCAGGAAAACTAACGTATGACGATACGTGCTGATAGAAATGATGTGACGTATTTAGTTTTTAATGAAACGTTTGTAGACATAGGACAGGAAAGGGCTGGGTAGGTGCAAAGTATTCGTTGCAAGAAATGCATTCATCTGTGATTTATGTTAGTAATCACAGCTAACGCTTTGATGTACAGGTACATTACTGATTCGTTCTATTCTCCATTTCGAATTAAACGCTTGTTGAATTATCTAGTAATTAAGCTGCAATTCAAGCCTGAGATAGAGTTTATATAATTTACGTTAAATGTAAAAGATATGATTAAAAATTGCAGCCCGGCATTGTGACCGTGTCACAATGAATAATTGCTCGTTAATTTTAAAGCTTTTTATCTTATTATTGTTATCATTTTTAAATTAACAAAATATAGGTTATTGATTGCTATTATTATAAGTTTTTAACGTTAATTTGTAACTACACTTATGCAGTTTCACAGTTTTTTATTTTCATTGTGTATTATAAAATGTATACACAACTAAACGATTTTTGAAAAATACATTTTGGGTTCTTTCTTTAAATGATGTTTATTCAAGGTTTGAGAAAACCCCGACAAATGGTTTACATTGTTAACAAACTCAGATGCTACAGTGTTTTCTACAAATTACAATAGAATAAATTTCTAGTTCCATGATAATTCTTATGAATGTGTTATATTCCATTTGTTACTTTTAACGTTGTTTAACCTAAGGTAAGGATGCCGAATATGAGATATCATTTTTATTTTTGACTATAAAAAATAACTATTACACTTGGAGCTTTACAAATTACAATTTTGAATAGGGAATTTAATATATTTAACAATATAATTGCTATTTAGTCCTAAGCATAATACATTTTTAGTTATATTAGATAAAATGAAAAAAGTCCGAAATCACGTCTTAGGTAAATGGTCTCCTATTATGAGATACTAGGGGTACCCCAGATTCTGGACAGTCTTGACCCGTCCAGATTCGATCCCGGGTCCCCCAGAGCGGTAGGCTGTCACCGTGACGTCACCTCTTGGCCATCCGGCCTTTTCTGGGGTATCCTTAGGAACACCGAATTGTTTTGATGCCTTTAAGTAACCTATTTGATTGCTCCGTACTGCATCCACGGCTCGTATCATGGCACTATGGTGCCAGGTTTTCCTTTTAATTGGGGCCATCTAAAATATATAAAAAAAGAACTTAAAGTAATACGTATACTTTCACCTTATATATGAAATGAGATATCTCATATTAGGAACCCTCATGTGTCTCATATTGGGAACACATTCAAATTTTACAAAACGGCTGCCTACTCTTTTTGCTGACAAAGAAAACAATAGTACTGCACTAATATCGTGAAATTGACCGTATAATTGATACAATGAATGTAAATTAAAAGAATTTAGCGTAATAATAACGTTGTTACATACCTCGTAAACATTTAATGTCGAAAAATTTGTTTTGTGCTTTTGTGAAAATCTGCACACCCACGATCTAACAGCACCTCTGGCCAGCGTGCACTGACACACGTTTGGAGCTATTGCCAGGACGCTTCGGGAAACACTAGAGCCAAATAGTTGCCGTTAATAGTTTGGCCAAAACCTTGGTATCTCATATTTGGCGCCTATCTCATAATAGGCATCTTTACCTTATATTATAAATATTTAAAATTAGAACTGCACTTTATATTTCTACGTTTTGAGACCTCTTGAACTCGAAAAAGTCAAAGAACGTTAAGAAATTTCATGTATATGTGTGTATGCTGGCGACTATTTCGTATATCTCAGGATGACTTAAACGTTAAGAAACGAAATTTGGTGCGGTGACATGTGCATAAAGGTTATGGATGGATGGACTATTAAATTTGGTGGTTAAAGTCGAGAGATTGGGGTGTCGTGTGTCATATCTCGAGAGATGACTATATAAAGATTATACCCGTTATTAACACTTATAAGTTTTTATTAAAAAATCATCCGTATTCTGAAAAGTAAGCTTTTTGCAATTCGATAATTACGTATTTACTCTCTTATAAGACCATCTCGCATATAGGACGAGGCGTGACTTGAAAGATCAAAATTAGATTTATTAATACAATTTAATTTTATTTCGTTTAATCACAAATAAAATGTCGAATGCACGTAAATGCACACATTGTCCCGCAAAAATCACTGAATTACTGGCATTTTAAAATTTAATGAAAAATCTTGTAAAATCGATAACATAATTTGTTCACGTAAAGTTGGACAATTCGGAACCTTTTTTGCCAATTCTTGACAGTCGAATCCACTCTCCGTCGATTACACCTACGAGTTTCTCCGAATTCTGGTTTCTGAATAATCATCTGTTTTCACGTGGGTATGGATTAAAACTTGTATCGAGCTCTTGTGTTATTTTGGAATTTCAAATTGGATTTCAATTCAAAAACTTTGTTTTTACTACTCCTATTCATCTTTACTCCTGACAATACACAAGAACGATTGAAACGACCCAGATAAAATACTTTTATTTTTAAAACATCGGAGGGTGAGCATCCGCTAAAAAATGCCAACACACGGTTCACAAAAAATATTGTAAAAACGCAAAGAATCTAGACATAGGTTTTTCCAGCAATGAAAAATAAATAAAAACCACGATAATACGGCAGTAAAAATATAAAAAGTTTTTTGTAACAAAACCTCCAAACAGATGGCGTTACATACAAAGTATATTTATTATGGTTAATAATATGAATGTTATTTTTAAAATAAAATCTCAAAGCACTCGAAAATGTTACGCAACTCGTTTTTGCATTTTTTAGTCATTTCTGTAGTACTTTTATTTATTTCGCATCCCCTATTGTTACAATGTTTAGCAATTGCTATGCATGTTGGTTAATTTTGGGTGCGAATATAATTCTTTAATTCTTATTTAAAATTTCGTTCTGTTTCACCTCTATAAAATTTTTCTCTTTAACAACTGCATCGAAATCGACATTTTGCTTTTTATTATCCTTTTGTCTATCATTATTGCCCTGTACAATTCGTTTATGACTATCCTGTTCGGCTGCTAATTGTATATTGTAATTATTTATCTATTTTTTCATATAATTTTTTTAAGTACAGAAATTTAAGTGTCGTTTTAATATTTGACAGACAATTACTACGTGTTGTATTGTTTAACCATTCATTTAGTTTTTTTTAATAGAATTTAGAAATTAAACACTTAAATAAATCTTATGAAAAATTTAAATATTACACATTAATAAGAATTAACATGGAACTACAAGTTTATTTTATTGTAATGTGTAGAAAACACTTTATTAAAAATTTAAATTATTTATTTTTATAATAATTAATTGTATTTTTAGAAAAATGTCAAGAGTCGAGCGATTTTAATAAAGTCAGATAAACAAACCAATGTTATAGTCTGTCTCAAATGAAATCGGATGTCATTGGCTCGTTTATCCAGCTGTATTAAAGTGGTTTTACAAGTTTTTAACTACGTAACACCTGTAAATACCTACAAACATGACGTAGTTCAAAACCTGTTCCGAAAACAACTTTAGATTTCCTTTCTAAATGTAATATAAACAATGAAGTTTTTTAGCTTATTATAGACATTACAATTCGGTTGAAGTATTACAAAATTACACGTAAGTAGGCTACATGTAAAATATGTTTCGAACCACTTCTCAGTTATCATTCTTCGAGTTATAAACAAAGGTTATAAATGATATAATGGAACTCAAGGGCATTCTGTTTACAACATTCGTGCTTCTCAGTAAGTAGCCTAATTAATCTCTGAAACATTTCTATAATTATAAAAATATAAACGAATATAGTTATGATCGTTCATTTCTTCCAGCTTTAACAATAAGTATTTCTTTATATAACCAGTTTAACAATAAGTAATTACATACTATATTACCACAAGGCGTATTTTGTACGGCGATACTTCGACCAATCGGATTGTCCATTTCAAGTTTCAAAATTTCTGTATTTGTTCTCTTAATGTCTCGCAATATTTATTGTTTCTCGGAACGATAAGAATTGCAATGGCGAGTAAGAATAGATTCTCGTGTTCTCTTGGGTTTTATTTTATTGTCTTCGCTGGTTTTTGTTCTTTTATTTAATTGTTTTTATAAAGTGTTTGTACGTGCGAAAATTGTCCGTTATTCTTTGATTTGGGATAAATCTTCGATTGTTACGCTTTACCCAATCGTATTACTGCTTATAAGATTAACGTGTATCGAGTGTAAAAGTTTCTACTTCTTGCGAAACTGACTTCTGAGTAATTACTTGTGTAGTCAGTACACACGTAAAAATATTTACTTTCTTGTCTTGTTTACTTTGTTAATGTATTCGCGAAATATTTTATTAATTTTTCGATACAAAAATACTGAGAAAAATATATAATCAAATATAGAGAAAACGAATGGAAAGATATCCTCAGAACTGGATTTATACTTGTTGTAGCCATATATTGTAGCGTATAACAGGCCCTTCGTCTGCACGGAATAACGACGCGTGTAGAAACGTAAGGCCGTAAGCTCGTAATGCGAGGCCCATCTTAATCAAAAATTATGTTATAGCTTCGAACCCTTAGTCTACACACGTTGCTTAAACAAATCTAACACGTTTCGCCCTCTTTAAAAGTAATTCTTTCACAGGGAACCGAATTTACGTATAAGCTAACAAACTAAAGTATAGGACCTCGTAATACGAAGGGCTTCGTTTTATTCTATTCTTTCAACTTGCTAGTTGTATATCAATCGCGTCGCGACGCGTCGTTTCGTTTCGGCTAGCGCGCGACGATCCATAACAAAACATTAATGCTTATAGATAACGGAATTTATTTATGTTTTATTTATTATTTTTAGGCGAAAATGTATTGTGTCGGTGTAATCTTGTCGATAGAAGATGCTTCGATTGTTTTTGTCAGGTAAAAATTTACATTTGTTAATTTCACGCGCGATGCGCCGCGCGTGGAAATTTATTTAACTTAGAATTTTTAAAATTTTAAACTTGTATTTTAGGCGCAAACTAATTGCGATTTGTCGTTTCAATGTGTGAATAAAACCGTTACTTTGTGTGGACCATATAAACTAAGTCGTCCATATTGGATAGACGGAGGTAAACTTGGAAACGACGATCCCGACGAGGAATTTGGTAAATTTTAAATTAAAATATATATAATTAACTAAAGTGTAATTTTAAAACGATAATTAATAAAGGTTCGTGTTCTTATATTTGAATATAAAACGTATTTTTAATTTTAGAAAGCCTGTATCTATCCACGCCAGTGATATACTATATACAAGTACTGTATATCACTTTGCGTTACAAAAAAAATATATTTTTTTAAATTAATTTTTATAATGGATATAATGAAAATATAAACATATTTAAATAATTCGTTAATTTTTAATTTTATTTATGCGCTTTCTAACAATAAAATTAAAGGAATAAATTAAATGTGTGGAAAGATCTGTGGCGACGACCGATGCGAGGCGCCGCGCGTCAACTTGCAGTAATATACGACTAATTTAAGTTTTACTCTTACAGAGAATTTCGTAAAGTGCTCGAAGAATAAAGCGTGTGCGGAACAAACAATTGAAAACTACATGAAAGTGTATTCGGTCGGAAAAGATTGTAATTCTAATGGTGAAGTGGATTGTGTCGATTACTATCGAATTCATTTGGGAGGACCTGGAGGATGCACACAAACCCGTTTCGAAAATACTGTGGAATGGTTGAGATTTTTAGAATGTTACCTTAACACGGCTACAAATATACAAGAGGCATTAAACAGTTTGAGTTTTAAAAAATACAGAGTTTAATAAACAAATCTTAAGGACAACTTTGAATATTTGAGAAGATGCTCCATCTGTTGCATTCGACATTGGTGTAAATTAGTTGACTTACAATCCAAAAATACATCTTGAAATTTTGTTGATAGAATTTATATTTTATCATTAATTTTACATAATATAAATAAGTGTTCGGAATAAAAATTGAAAACATTTCTCACAAATTTGTCTCGGGTATTTAACTCTCTACAAGAGCGTTATGTAAAGTAAATGCGGAGAAAGCGGTATAATTAAATTTAGTGAAGTGGCGGATGAAATTATTGATTGTTTCTGTTGACATTTATGAATATTTTCTTATTTTCTTTAATATTTATTGAATAATAATCGATAGAATTTCTTTAACTGCCGAATATTACTTAATAGGAACAATTTTTTCTAATCTTAGAACTAATTATCAGATCTTTAGAATGAAATACAATAATGTTTATATAATAACTGTTTATGTAAATTTAATCTTATATTTACACAAAGTTAGTAAAAAAGAAAGGAGTGTCAAAATCCGTTGGCAATTGCAGGACATGTCTCTGTATCACTTTGTAACTTAGAATTATTCTCTACTCGACTAATCAAAGCGTTACAGCATCAGTTTGGCTTTTATGGTTATGGTTTACAATTCAAATTGGATTCGAACCCGAAATCTTGAAAAAACTGACCCGAATATGTCGTGTTGCGTCCACTTAAGAGCCTGGCCAAATTTGCAAAAATTCCTCTTTGTTTATTTTTCTGAATATTTTGTAATATTATATAAAATTTAAACACCAATTAAGACCTTAGTATACAATTTAAGTTATCACGTAAACACACTAAAAGCGCTACCGTTGTTTTGCAGCCCGATGTTAAGGCCAGTACACAAAGACGGCGATCAGCTTACCTTATTGGTTTCTGAACAACATCAGCTTCATCCATCGTCTTTTTCGACTCTGACAATGGATGGCGAGGATTGGTCGAGCTTGTCGTTGACGCTCATCGTCGTCGTTATTCTATTGCTCGTGTGAATCGGCCTTTAGTGTCGCTACTACGAAAAAGTATTTTAAATTTCGCCGGGATTACAACCAGCCCAAATAAATTTGTGTTTATATTTATATATCCAGTAAACATTCATTTCTTTAATTTATTTAGTGATCAAATAATTCGAATTAACATTAATTATAAAAAAACTAATAATTATGGATTGGTTTTTAGTTTAAAATCAGATCACCCGCGCCTATCCCTTGTCCAATTGCTTAATATATTATTAATTAATTATCCTTCATGTATATCAATAAGATATATATAAAGGATAATATTAAAATTTATTTTCGTAGAACTTTTACGTCGTTGCCAGAAAATAAACAAAGTTATGTGCAAAAACCACCGAAAAACGTGTGGTTAATTTAATACACAGGGCTGTAAAAATCACGAGACGGTTGCGCCATCTTCCGATTTAAATAGTAACTATTAATTTTTAAATATCTTTTTAAAAATTACAGTAATCTTTATTTACACTAATTTAATTTAAATTAAAAAATAAATTTAACGAATTAATTTTGAAATTATTAGTAATTATTTAAAAATACACAAGAAAATAATTTAAACCAATCAGAATAAAGGAAATGCAGAAGGAAATTCCATTTCCTTTTGATTTATTATTTTATTTATTTTTATTTTGCATTGTAATTAGAAATAAACTAAAATAATTATTTTATTTTTTATGAGGATTTATTAATTGTAATTAATATAAATTTAATTTTAAAGCCAGATTGTATAATACAAGGAAGAAGATATTTACAGGTACGTTGTAGCTGTAAAGTTTTCTAGGAAACGAGTCTGATGCTTCCTTTATGATTATTATAATATAAATATAGGAAAGTTATTTTGATATAAATAATTGCATTTCAGTTGGATATAAAATATGTTTCAGTTTATTTATCGTTCTTCGAGTTATAAACAAATTTATTAAATGGAATTCAAGGTTATTCTGCTGGCAACTCTCATCCTTATTAGTAAGTGATTATTTCTTTATTATATTTACCGTAATTATAATAGATTTTGCTTGTATTGTTGCACTTTATATTAAGTATTTCTTATGCAACAGTAAATAATCTAAATCGGCGCTTCTCAACCTTTGTCACTGGCGTACCGTCTGATCTTTCTTTGTATAGATTTATAGCACTAATCCATCCCTCTTACATATCCTTAGTAGTATTTGAACTACTAGTTGAGAACTGCTGCTCTACATCCTCTTTTCTTAGTTGAAGAAACGTACGAGAATTTCCGTTTTTATTTATTTTTTACACTAATTATGCTAGTTAATTTGCATAAGTAACTAATTAAGACAGTAATTAGCAACTTTTAAACGTAGTTTCTGTTGTATAAGTACAAAGACTTAATGTTGTTTGACTGGATGGGGTCGAAACTTTGGTGACTTTACAAAACTTTATATTGACGTCAAAGTCGAAATCCCATTTTCCTTGTATAGTATCGTATAGACATTATATACGTATATACATTAAAGTTTATTACGTCATACGAAGGCAATCAAAATTGTTAATGTCGCCGCGCTGAAGCGCACGAACCGTCGCGATGCGTCGTGCAGAACTTAGTTGGCGTATGCGGGTCGCGTCGCTTTCGAGACAATTAGCGCGCGACGTTCTATAACAGTATGCTGTATACAATTGTTTAACAAAATAAAATATATTATTTTTATTATTTTTCCAGCTGAAAATGTATTATGTAAGTCTAATCTTGTCGATAGAAGATGCTTAAATTGCTTTTGTCAGGTAAAAACTTTATATAATAACGTGTCGCTCGAATAAACGTGTAATTAAAATTGACCTTAATTTTATTATTTTGATTAAGGCACAAAGCAATTGTAACATGTCAGCCGAATGCATCAATATGCCTTTTACCGTATGCGGTCCGTACAAGTTGAGTCACGGATATTGGATAGACGGAGGCAAACTCGGATATCAACTTGAAAATGACGATTCCAACAAGGAACGTGGTAATTGTTTTTTAAATTAAAAAAATATATAAGTAATTAAGTATAATTTTAAATTAATTAAACATAAGCCTACATTTATATATTTTAATCTAAAATTAACTTTTAAGATCCTCCTACGCGACTAAGTAAACGAAAGGTCGCGTCGCGCGCCATGTATACAGGAAAATTAATTTTGTGAAATTTCTATTTTATTATACTTCAAATTAAATAATTCGTTTATATTTAATGTATTTGTACAATTTTCGATAGTAAAATGAATATAGAAACGTAATAATTAGTGTGAACATATATTAATATATGACTAATGGTAGTGTTTACTTACAGAGGATTTCGAACGGTGTTCAAAAAATAAAGCGTGTGCGGAGCAAACCATAGAAAACTACATGAAAGAGTACACGAAAGACTGCAATGACAATGGCATAGTGGATTGTGTGGATTACTTTCGGATCCACGTAGGAGGACCCGGAGGATGTACAGGACATGGGTTTGAGAGTGGTTTGGAATGGTTGAGGTTTTTAGAATGCTATCTTAATACGGCTACGAACGTAAGCGAAGCATTAATTAATTTAGGCATTGTAAGATTACATTAAATACATTAGAAGATGTCAGAGAAATCATTAATAAAGCCAAACCTCGATGTATCATCTTTCAAAATCGGTAAGGCGCTAAACGGATTCTTCTCTTAGTGTCTGCAATGCAAAATGCATTATTATCCTCGATCGCGTGAGACTCAAACTTGTGTACACGTCATTGATATAGCTTAAGATTCGTGTACTGTACTTGGGTTTAGCGTCACACTCGATTTAATGCCAATTTTAGAGTCGAACCGATAGACGACGGAGCTAAATATATTGAAATTTGGTTGATAAAATTTCTATTTTATCATTAAATTTTGCATAATAATTGAAAGTTTTCGGTGGAAAGATGGAAATATTTTTACATTTCTCACGTGTATTTAACCTTCTATTAAGAGCTTTTATGTAAAATAAATGTGGAGAAAGTAAATGGAGTAATTAAATTTATTGAAGTGGAAGATGCAATCATCCGGATAAAATTATTGATTCTTTCTATCGACTCATGAATATTTTCTTCTTTATTTCTACATTTAATCAATGGTAGCCGATAGCAGATGATTTAAGCTGAAAAATTGTTTTTTCTAGAAATAAAATTCTGTAATTTTTTTTTAATTTTACAATTAATTATAAGAAATCTGCTATAAAATACGATATATTTTTATACTAAATTTAAATATTTTTCAAAGGTTTTATCCATTAGAAAACCGCATAAAGCGCGAAATTCTTCCTTAAAATTATCGTTTTATCAGAGAAAATTAAGGAAAATATTCTATTAATTAATAGTTCGGAGTTAAATTGTAATTCGTAATAAAATATAAAGAAATTTTAATGCGTAAAACCTACTTATGACAGTATTTGTACGTTCGTTTGCCTGTACTTGTTCAATGAATCTCTTAACGCGGTATTACTTTCGGTGTTTCGATTTTTAAATTGAGTTTTAATCAAGAAAAATCCAATAAAATTGTGAACATTTGTAAATAAAAAAAATTAAAAGTTTGTCAGAAAAAAAAAATTAAAATTATTATAATTAGAAAGAAGATCGAATGTATTAAATTATATTTTTAAACAGCCGAGAAAACACAAAGAAGTTGATAATTATAAATTATTTTTAAATAAAAAATTAAAATAAATGTTTAATTAAACAAATTTAAGAAATTTTATATTAAAAAAAATAATAAAAATTTTAATTATTTCGAATGAAAATTTAGTAAATTTGGCACATTCATTTCTAATTTATTTATTTGATAAAAAGTTTGTTTATAATTTTAACAATGAAATAATTTCATTAAAGTTATATAAAATTCTATAAATGACTAAAGCTTTTTAAACAATGACAACAATTTAAACATAATACATAATAAACAATAACAAACAAAATAAATAAGTCAACTATTGTTGTAAACAACTGCGTTAGTATTTTAGTTATTTATTAATCAAATCACAATACTTGCGTTCGAAAATATACAAAACATTCGTTTATATATAATAAATATTTATTAGTATGAAAGAAAAGTTTTCTGTATATTCCATTAAATTAATCTGTAAGTGTTTAACCTCTTCATAAATGTGAGAATCGCCGTTCAGAGAGAATGATCCCACTTTTATATCACTCTAATAATGCCTTTTTCTACACAAAATACTAAATTCTGATGCCCCTCTTTGTCAACGGATGGGGCCAAATAGTTTGGAATTTCATATTATAACTCATCTTCAATTTATTTTCATGCTCTTTTCGAGTGTAGAGAATATGCTTTATCGTTAAAGTTTGCCAGATCTCTGATTTATGGGACACAAGAGATTGGCACATCTTGCAATTATCAATGAAGAATTGACTTAGAAAGAAAACTTAATTTAAAATAAAATGTTTGAAATGATATTGAAGTTTCTGGTGTAGAAAATTAAAGGCAACTGTAACGTAATTGTAATAATATGAATTATAATATTATAAATTTATAATTCTTCTGTGTGAAATTATTTTTAGAAATTGAGTTACAAAACACCTCTGTACTTTGTTCCAATCGTTCAAACTTTGTATATAATGACATTTAATTATGTAGGATGTGTCACAGAGTTATTTAAAACACATTTTTATTATTTAAACATAACGAATAATGGGAATTTGATCTTTGCGAAAGGTTGATTGGTAAACTCTTACGCTGCACTTTCTATAAAGAGAGGTGCACATTTTTGTGTGTTGATTTTAGAATTTGCAGTGTAATATTTTATCGATCATCAAATTCACATAAGTAAGAACAACTTTCCGTTCAAATAATAATTACATCACAGCTTCATCTTTGCCATTTCATATATTTTTCTATTTTTCATCTTCACACATTAACGTTTGAGGAAAAAATTTTTCAAGTTTCTTCTTTCGTTTATATTGGAAATATAATTAGTTTAATTTAATCACGATTGTTCGACACGTGAAGAAAATCCGGAAAACTCACGTGGCTAGCTGGTCGAGTGAGGTCAAAACCCGCGATCAACTACAGTGTTCTGCGGTTGGATCCACTCGAACACTTGTGGGTAAATGTATCATTATGCCATATAAAAACACCTGTTTTTTTATTATTCTTTGCATTTGTTTTTATATATTCTTTAATACTATTCATTACATTTATTTTTAATATTAATCTTGTGGTATTATTATTGGCATTTATTCCTATCTCTTATTTATTGTATTATGTACTGTACTCGTGTAAACATTATATTTTTTCACTAAAATTTCGTGTAAAATATGCCATTTCGGTTTTAACAATAATATAACTAATTTTTCTTTACCTTTATTCAATACACTGGACATAAACCTCAAATACTTGGCCGAGACCTTACCTCAAAAAATATCGTGTGAATCGTGTGCTCTTTATCCAATTAATTTTAAAATATTTTTCAATTAAATATTTCATTTAATATTTTTTAACAATTTAAAATGAAAGTTTTATATATTACAAATTAAATTATATAATTTAAAAATTACACTTTATTATTTGAAACTTATTCCAATTTTTATTATAAAAATCGAAAGTTTAAAAAAATTTCCAACAGATGGCAGTAGAGTTTAAAATGTACGGTATTGCACGTAGATTGTAATTATGAAATACCTGTAATAAAATACAGCGCCATCTAGTGTAAAGTTTATCATCAGTTCTGGTGTCTGTCAATTGTAATCAGCGATAAACACACTATCATAAAGAAAAATACTTCATTATTTTGTATCTTTTGTTGATAAATATCAAATAAATTTTCATCATTCTATTAACTTGATAAAGTTTTAAGTGAGGTTTTTAGAATGCTATCTTAATACGGCTACGAACGTAAGCGAAGCATTAATTAATTTAGGCATTGTAAGATTACATTAAATACATTAGAAGATGTCAGAGAAATCATTAATAAAGCCAAACCTCGATGTATCATCTTTCAAAATCGGTAAGGCGCTAAACGGATTCTTCTCTTAGTGTCTGCAAGGCAAAATGCATTATTATCCTCGATCGCGTGAGACTCAAACTTGTGTACACGTCATTGATATAGCTTAAGATTCGTGTACTGTACTTGGGTTTAGCGTCACACTCGATTTAATGCCAATTTTAGAGTCGAACCGATAGACGACGGAGCTAAATATATNTTTTTTGTAAGAGTCAGAATTCGGACTTGATTCCATGCTTAAAGTTTAACAGCGAAAGTTTGGGTCGGGGGTGCCATTGACCATCTTTTATTTATGCTGATCGACTCCATTCAGATTCTCGCCTGCCCAAAATTGGACTATGGACTCGTACATTATGAATTAGATCTAATTTTCTAGGTTAACTTTTACTGGGATCTTAAAAAATAAAATTGAGAATTATGTTGATAGAATGTACATCTTTCGTGACCAACGAAGATAAAGTACGTGGAATAAAGCTCGTTATTATCCAAATCACTATCAACAACTAAAAAACCGAAATGTTGCTATAAAACATTTAAAAAAACAAAGAAATGGTGATGGAAACAGCAATAAATAAGTCCGAGTTGAATTGGATAACAATAAATTTATCGCTGAAAATTGGTTTGTTTCGTTTTATCTTCTCTACACCAATGCATAATAAAAAAGAAATAAAGCAAACAGGAAAATAAATGGGAAAATTTTATGATTATGTTTTGAAAGTTAAAATTATATGGACTCGTATAAAGATTAAAAGAAATATATCAGCGTTAAAATTGAGAAGACTCTGTTGAATGAACAATTCAAACCAAATTAGGATATTTTCCTTTATTTTAAAGTGTTTCCATCAATTAGAGGTTGCATTGTAATCCCATCCTCCACTGTAAGCATTATTTTCAAACTCTAACTTTCTCCCCTGGTGATTCGAGTTTGCCCTCTTACAACTTCCTGCTGATGATCAATTTATCATCCTCTTTGGTTCTCTCTTTTTGGACATCACTTGAACACGGTTACATTACAACAAAGTTTTATCGTGTTCTTTTGTAAATGTTATCTTTACGCTTAGAATGAAACCATGGTTTACATAATGATCTCATTCCGAGTTCCGTTGTTGTAGACAATTCCTCTTTACCATTTGTTGCATCATTTTATTGGTGTAATGAATGTATTTTCTAACAAATCTAATAGAGAAGAAATTGGGATAAAGCAATGATCACAAAAATAGTAGAAAATATAAAGTAGTTCCAAAAGAAAGATATTTAGATGATTTTTTAGTATTTGAACACCAATTTATAACTGTAATAAGGATCGATGTCTCTGTTTCTCTTCAATATTATCAGTTTGAAATTTTCACAATTGTTTTTAGAAATGGCATTGTTCACTTTTTATCTAACACCAAGGAAAAAATATCCCTTGCTTTATTTCCAGAATAAACTACAAGAGCTTTCAATAAAGAAGATAATGCTCGGGACAATATATTAATCATTTAAATGAAGCAATTTAAAATACGATAATGACGAAGATAAAAGAATTTATGAAATGAATAAATGAACACAAGTGTATATATTATTTATTTTACATTTTCCAACGTACATTTTAATGATGCTCGAAATAGTAATTCATATTTATAACTTAAATAACCATTCGCTTTTTATTTTAATGATGTTTTACAGAGGTGAATTATACATGCGAGTCGTTAATTCATACAAATAGCAGTCTAATTAAACTTCTTTCTTAATTTAATTGTAATTGATTGCTAGAAAAATATTAATTAAGGCGCTGAATCGGGTATACTAGAAATATCGAAATGGCCAACTGAGAACCACGCCGTTCAATGCTGTCCTACACATGGAATGTTCATTGTGTTCTGGATAGAAAACAATTTAAATTCTTTCTAAATTGTATTTATCTCATTTACATTGGTATTAATATTTACTGAGTAAGAAGAAGCTAAAACTCAATTCAAATTTGTAGTGGTATGGATATATGACGGAAAGGGATGAAAGATTTCTCCAGAGAAATGTTGTGGATTTCAAACCGGTGGAAGAGGGATTAACTGTGTGAAGCAATATTTGAAGCAATTGATAGTAGAAACGACGAAAAAAACACAATTGAAAGACAGAAAACAATAGAGAATAATATTGACGACAGCGAGGGATTACTTAATCTGTGAAGCTCCGTGGAGCAGCAACTGACAAGCGAGTTGCTAAAATGTATCCAGTTCAAATGATTTAGATCTGATATTAAATCATTAAGCCATTAATGAATTACGTGTCCAAAATGTATGATTGATCTGAAGGTTGTGGATTTTCAACTTTTAGAATATCTTATAATATAAAGGTAATAAATTTTCATGAATGTCTGTCAAATTTCTTGACCTTAAAAATGTTGCTTTTTTTTGTAACAGGTAAATACAAATAACATGGACATGGCCCCCACATCCTACAGCGGGCCTCTAGACCAGGATTATTGGCGAGCTCCTTCCCCCTCCCCTCCAGTAATTTTTATACTTTTATGATTGTTATATTAAGTTAATAATAGTAATAATTTG